TATTATCGTTTAAAACTGAGCATACACTTACATATAAAAACACGCTGAGTTCTCTGTGTATGTTAAGATAAATGAGACAAACACAACTCATTTATATTTGTTGCTAAGGTTGCAAAACGTTTCTCATGGCTATACTCAATGGAGCTTCATCCCAGAAGTGTGGCCTGAGAAAAAAGGAAGAATTAAGGAGAAGGGTCAGGAGCTGCAGGTCAGAATGACCAGAGCCAGGGCACACCGTGCTGCTTTCACAGGCAGTAACCAGTCCCTAGTGCTGGCCTTTGTTCTTCTGGTCCCCCTTTCCTGCAGCACCCATCGGTATCAGCCCCGCTCCTCATGAGAGAGAGAACACTGAGGCCTGGGATTCATTATTCCTTTGCCCATGAGCAAGACATCCTGAGACTGCCTCCTCCACCCAGCTCCCTTTCTCTCATTTCCTCCTCTTGTTTTCCTCTCTAGCACGGAGTCGGGGGGTGGGTTCAGGGAAGCAGAGGGAAATAATTACATCCTGGAGAAAGCATCTCAGGCCCCACTTCTTTCTGGAAGAGCTACTTTGTGATGGTGGGTGGGTTGCCGGGACTGTAGGCTCACCAGACCCTGTGCCCACATCCTCTCTGTTCACCCAGCTGTGTGTGACCCTTGCCCTGTACCCAGATGTTCGGGGTGAGCAAGATTGCCTGGTGGTGAAGGGAAGGGGCTGGGCAATGGCCAGCAGGCTAGGCTGCATAGCTGTCAGGAGATGGCAGGTGGATTGTACCAGGGTGCCCTGTTAGACCAGCTTGTGCAGGGATGGGAACAGGATAGGATTAACAGAGGAGGCCTCACCATCCCACAGTGCCCATGTGGGAGCGAGTTCCAGCACTGGCCACATTGCACACACTGAGCCCCAACTTCTGGTCCAGTCCATGCCCTGATAACCTGGGTCGTGAAGGGGCTGGCAGGGGCGAACTGTCTGGGGCAAACTGTCCTTCCTGTGCTTGTCTCACCCGCACTTTCACATGGTTCTCAGTGACACCCTCTATATCACTGTCCCAGGAGCACCGTCAGCATGGAGTCTGGATGTTGCTGAAGTTGCCTCTTTCTGATCAGGGGCCTGGCTTGGGGAAGGTCTGCCCTTGCGTCTCCCAGGTCTGGCTTCATGTTGTGACATGGCCTTTACCTTTCTGAGTTGGGAGGAGCACAGATAGCATCAGGTGGACCACTGAACTGTGAGCCAAGATTAAACTAGGAGGGAAGTTACAGAACCCAGTGGCTCAGTGGCTGAAGTCCACGGAGGAGTGTGGACAGCTGTCAGTGGATGTGAGGCACTGGCCTCCTGGAGGGGAAAAGCTGTGAGAGCAGCTGCTTCATTTTGTGGAAGCTGAGGATTGGCTACAGCTAGCACCAGGAAGGCCAGTCTTGGCCATGTTCTGCGTTTTCCATTTATGGAATATAATTTCCAGCGTCTCAAAGGAGAGGAGATTCTTTGTGGTGGTGCAGGATATTCCAGTAATTTTTATACTTGTTTGGTTTAGCTTGGAGATAAGCAATTCCATTATTTTAAGCCTTTAATTTAAATAATTAATTGGTCTTCATCAGTATCACAAACTGCCGATAGTTTCTACAAAAAATGCTAGTTCACCCAAAACACCATTCTTGCCCTGAACATTTGCTGGCCTTTCTGATGTGTATGTGTGATGAGGGCGAGAGCTGGCCTCCATCCCAGGGCTGTGAAATCCATTGCAGGAGATCCAGAGCAGAGGCCAGGACCAGCCCTCTTCCATATGGAGGTCTGTGAGAAGCCTATGAGTTCTGGCCTCATCGGTACATAGAGGTGGTCTCCTGCCAACACCGCAAGGCCAGCAGCTTGGCCCTCCGGGGGAAGGAGGGAGGGAAGGCCAGGAGTGGTCCTCTGTGATCTACCCTAGTAGGGAGGAGAGAGCACTGCATGCTTTGCATAGCTGTGTGTGGAGGGCTGCCTTGCTGATGGTATAAAACAGCTCTACCCGTGTCCACTGCCGACTTCTCACTGGACCCCCGGACACCTGGAGCCTCCAGTTCCCTCTCCTCCACTGCACGAGTCCCTGACACATGTTCTTGCTGCCTGGGATACTCGCAGCTCTCCAATGGGCAGGTAACTGCTAACAGGTGGCCTTTGAAGCCCATCTTGTCTCACAGTTTCTCCAGGGAGCCTTCCAGATCCTCCTTCCCTTAAGGTCAGGATCTGCCGTCCCTCTTGTGGGCACGGCCTCCTTCAAGCCTGCTTCAAGCCTCCTTCAAGTCTGCTTGCCCCTGAGGGAAGCACTAGTCCAGTTCTTTGTTTCTGGGACCAGCATGGCTCTCCCGTGTCTATTGGTGGAGGGGCTCCCTGACTGTCCACTGGGTTTTGCTGCTTTTCTGACCAGGCCTCTGCCGCCGACTACAGGGGGGTGCTGTGTCTGCTCCCAGAATTGGGGATGAAGGGAAGGCCGGTGGAAGCCAGGCCCTGTGAGCCACAGCCGAGCACAGTGAGTGCAGCACTGGCCCAGTGGCCAGTTGGGACGCTGATGCCTGCAAGGCCCACTGTGTGGACGTGGCTGTAGATGCCACCACCCTAGGACCACGTCATTAAGTGGCCTGTGGTGTTGGAAGCTGGGGGCAAGAGCTGAGTGCCACCCCCACTCCCAACACAGTATTTCCTTTGCAGAGGCTGCTCTGAATTATTGTGCTTCCTGTGCCAGCAGTTATGGTGAGCTCCAAGCCAGCCAGCTGCGTCCTCTTCATGAAGCTATTGTCCAGGCCCCACTGGCTCTGGGGTACATCTGGACATATGTACCTAACTTTAGGAAGAGAAAGCTCCATTCCCCGTGGTCACTGTGGTCCAGCCATTCAACATTGCTTTCTCTCCAATGCTGTCATGTAGTTCATGGCTTCTCCCACAGGCCACTGTGGGCTTTGGAGTGGGTGCAGTGCTCTAAGCACCCCCCTCCCTTTCTGCCCCCCCCCGACACAGGGCCACATCTCAAGGCTAGCGATGCCCTGCACCAGGTCTGCCAGCCACCTTTCCAGTGTGGCTGGTGGCAGTGATTGTGGTGGCTGCCTCACTGTCTCAACAGGGAGAGGCTGTGGAACCCTTCAGCCAGTGTCAGCACCGCTGCAGAGGCCTTCACGCCTCCCCTTCCCTCCACGGGCACTGTCTGGGCATAGTGTGTCACATTGTTGACTTTAGTGTGCATTTTCTTTTTCTATGTACGTTTCCCCTGCCCATCCCACAGAGAAGAGCAAGCTAGGAGAGGTTAAGAAATTCACTGCCAGGCGCCGGTGGCTCACGCTTGTCATCCTAGCTAGGAGCTGAGATCTGAGGATCACAGTTCGAAGCCAGCCCAGGCAGGAAAGTCCGTGAGACTTTTACCTACAATAAATCACCAGAAAACTGGAAGTAGCACTGTGGCTCAAGTGAGCTGAAGAGTTCAGGGACAGTGCCCAGGGCGAGTTCAAGCCTCACAATCAATTAAAAAGAGAGAGAAATTTACCATGGCACAGTGAACTGGATTTGGGGGTCATTTCACCAAATCTCCTGCCTCTAAAATGCAGGCTATTATCTGTCTTCATTTTTCTTTTTTCTTTTTCTTTTTTTTGGTCGGTCATGGGGCTTGAACTCTGGGCCTGGGTGCTGTCCCTCAGCTCTTCAGCTTAAGGTGAGCGCTCTACCACTTGAGCTACAGCGCCACTTCCGGTTTTCTGGTGGTTTATTGGAGATAGGAGTCTCATGGTCTTTCCTGCCCACGCTGGCTTTGAACCGCGATCCTCAGATCTCAGCCTCCTGAGTAGCTAGGATTACAGGCGTGAGCCACCAGCGCCCGGCTCTATCTTCATTTTTCTGTAAAAACTCCAAATAGATTCCAAATCAGTAAGTAAAGTTCTAAAGAACACACAGATTTTATTAAAAGTTGTAGTGTAGACTTAAAAAGCAGAACTTGACCCTTACCAGTCTATATACGGTGAGCCTACCATGAATAGAATTGTAAGCCTGGCTCTTCATGTATCTAAGAGGGATGGAGTGTGGCTCACATGGTAGTGAGGTCTTGGCTTTAACCCCAGAACTGCAAGGCAAACAGCATAAGTGGTGATCCCCGGCCTAGGGTTTTTCAGCTTTTTGGTGGTTCCATAAGTTGTGTATTTCAGTGGAAACCTTGCCTCGGGTCTTGAGTTGGATCTAGTCCCTGGCCAGCGATGCGTGACAGGCCTTCCCTGGGCTGGCGGCAGCAGGCACCCAGCTAGCCCTGACACCCTGCGGTGCCATGGGAACCAACTTACTGGTGTCCTTCCATGTTGGGGTGCTTGCAGCGCTCCCACATCCATGTCGAGCCTGTGTGCCTGCCTGTGCGCAAAGGGGCCACATTCGACAGTAGTGAGACTTGCATACTGGTGATGTGAGCTCAGTGCTCCTGCAGGTGAACTTTCAAGTCAGTTCTAGAATTCCAGTACTGGAACACATAATGAAAATGAAAGTGGGAATCCCCCAGGGTATGTGTGTGTGTGTGTGTGAACTGTGTAGCTTTATGTCCAACTTTCTCTTGGGATCCTTGTTTATGAGGTGAGCCTGGTTTTGACAGAACTTGCATTCTGCCGGGGTTCTGAAAAGGCCCCTTGAGCTTCCTGTGTGGTGTGCGCACTGTGAGGGCTGGGCCTGTGCAGGGTGCTGTGGCCAGGCCTGGGAAGTAGGAGGGAGGACTCAGTAGATGAGAGACCTGGGTGCAGGAGGGCAGATTGTGGAGGACAGAGAGGTGTGGGGGAGAGGATGGCGAGGAGATAGAGTAGGCATCCAGGGAGACAGGGGCTGCAGAGCAGAGGGCCACAGGGTGGGATGGCAGGGGCTGGAGGACGGGAGGGTCTGTCCAGGCTTCTCCTGGATGACGTCTGGAGCCGTCTCCTCTGGAAGCTGGAGGGGAAGGGTGGCTGGGTTGGGCTGCCAGGGCACCAGCGCCTGCGTGGGGCGGGCGTGGTGACCGCAGGAGTGAGTGCTTTGTCTGTGGGTTTCAGGTCCAACCCGAAAGATGCCCCCTGGTGCCAGTGCCATGGACTTCTTTCAGCTCTTTGTCCCAGACAACACGCTCAAGAACATGGTGGTGCAGACCAACATGTATGCCAGGAAGTTCCAGGAGCGCTTTGGCAGCGACAGCGCCTGGGTCGAGGTGACACTGGCGGAAATGAAGGCCTTCCTGGGCTACGTGATCTCCACCAGCGTCTCGCACTGCGAGTCTGTCCTCAGCATCTGGAGCAGCGGCTTCTACAGCAACCGCAGCCTGGCGCTTGTCATGAGCCAGGCCCGCTTTGAGAAGATCCTCAAGTACTTCCACGTGGTGGCCTTCCGCTCCAGCCAGACCACGCCTGGGCTCTACAAGGTGCAGCCCTTCCTCGACTCCCTCCAGAACAGCTTCGACGCTGCCTTCAGGCCATCCCAAACCCAGGTGAGGCCCGCCCGGAGCAGGGGCATGGCCAGGTGCCCTGCCCCCGGCCCTGCCCTGGCTAGGAGAAGGGGCAGGACTTCGTCTGCCCCTGCTCTTCCTTTGCCTTGTTACTGTTGTCTCTTTGGAGGAGAGGGTAGCAATTGAGGGGGTGACCCACAGACCTGTCAGAATTCGGCTCTTGCGGGGCGTTCCAGCCTCTCTTCATCCTTCTGACCCTCCAGTTGTCCTTCCTCTTCTAGTGAGGCTTTTGTTCAGGCCAATGTAATCATCTCATCCTAACCTCTGAGTCTGAACTCATCTGGTGGTGGCAAGAGGGCTGGGGCCTTCTGGGGGGCAAAGCAGTGAGCTGGACCTGCAGTACTTCTCTGGTCCTGGCCGCTTAGAGCCCAGACAGAAAGTTAGCCGGACCTCATCTCAACGAACTGGCTGAGCATGGTCGTAGTGTTTGTACTCTGTAATCCCAGCTGTGCAGGAGGCATCATGGTACAAGGCCAGTCCTGTGCATAAAACACAAGACCCGGCCGGGCGCTGGTGGCTCACGCCTGTAATCCTAGCTACTCAGGAGGCTGAGATCTGAGGATCGCGGTTCAAAGCCAGCCCGGGCAGGAGAGACCGTGAGACTCCTATCTCCAATAAACCACCAGAAAAC